GGGCCGGTAGCAACAAAAACTACGGGGAACCATGCAAAAAACCCATCTTCGCCCGGGCAGCCCGTGCGTTGGCCAATTTTTTTTTTTTTTTTTTTTGAATATTGTTATTGTGAATGCACAACTTAATGAACTGTTCATCAATGGACCAAGTAAAAAATTATTTTCGAGCGAATTCTACAGGTAATAAAGCAAGAAAATTTCAAAGATTATGAAGTAAATGAGGGCGAGAAAATGTCCGGTATTTATACGCACAAGATTTACCGGATCAAGTCAAAAGTACCAGCCACTAGCAGAAAAGTACTACCGGATGGGGCATTCATTCTCCATGAAAAATGCTGGAATGCATATCCATACTGCAAAACTATCATCACCGTAAGTGCGCTATCATTTCCCGCCTTATCTTGGCTGTAAAATTAATTTTCAATTTGAATGCCTGTTCTCGGTAAATTAATAAAAAGCTTACAAAATTATCGGAGCTTACAAAATTTCCGTTTTTGAGATCAGTGTAATTCAGCAAGTTTTATTTGTTACTTACATGTATATACAGCCTTTGAGTGAAAAAATGAATGGATAACTAACTTCTTCAGCCAAAAGCTGGTGTTTTTTTTTGTTTCACGGCTTTTTATAGAATCCCGATTACATGGGCGAGAACTTTCACATCAAAATCGAGTCAACACACATAAATGACCACGGCGAAACGGAAAACGTAAACATTACTACGTCTAGCTATTTTGTTGCGACTTTCACTGAGCATAAGGCACAAGTTTGATTTTGCAAAATTGAAACTTTTGCTGATACTGTTAACATTCTTGCTTATGTTCTACTTAAGATTCTGCTGAATTTCTCCCAACTTTATAATTCCAGCAGAACCGTGGTAAATTTTGCAGCAAATCGAAACATGTGCCAGCACTTTTCCTCCTGAAACTAATGCTGTAAACAATTAACTTTCATCCCTCCATCCCTCTCTCCTTCGCATCTTTTTCCTCTTTCCCAGCATTCTGCCTACTCTTCTTTCGAATCCTTGGCCGAGCCTACTCTCTTAACTCCAAAGCAAAGAAAGTAGTAAAAGTACAGTTATCTTTTTTTCTATAAAGATCACATGCATGCTTCTATGAAAAGAAGTTAGCTCTCTTAAAAACTTTTTAGGCATTAAATCTAAAGGGTGACCTGAAAGATCGTGAAGTGATAATTATAGACATTTATGATGACAAATATCTTAAAGAATCTGTAAGTTTCTTTTAGCTGCTATTTGCTTTCCGCTTCCACCATTTTAAAAATGCTTGAAAACCGCTTTTTTAAAAGAAAAGTATTGCTGGCTTTATGTTTTTGGATAGGCTGCTGCAGACTTACAGCATATAAGGCATACAAAGATTTCTTGTTATCTTGTCACGATGATTTTCTGATCCATCTAATTTACGAC